TAAACACTGAGTCGAGGTCGTAAAGCAGTCTAATGTACAAATAAAGCAGGCCTTGTTTGAATTCTTTTGGCAATTTTTTTATTATGATTGCCTGGTTGTGGGCAGGATTGGATGTGATGAAGCTTGGTTGAGGTAAACTATAGTGCAGGCCTGCCTAGGTAAGCACCGAACTTCTGTCCAGAAGGGAGCATTCACGTCTGTAGATCCCAACCCGCACTGTCCTGAGAGAGTGATGACGTTGCTACGAATCCATTTGAATTCATAATATTCTATGAAAAGTAAGGAACAAAGAGGTTGAGGAAGGCTGTACTCTTGAGTCTTACGATAAATTCAGTGAGTTTGCGTCTGGATTCTGCCATTGCTAGTGAAGAACCCCTCAGCCTACTTTGAACAAATCAACGGCCGATATTAAGGCCCAAAATTTTACTCAAGAAGCAATTCTTTCTTAATTTTTGCTTTGAGATGGTCCAAAATGTGGCTGTAAGTAGATTCGTTGGCAATGGGACCCTGTAGACCCGCATCCACTCGTCTCACTTAGTACACAAAACGAACCTGGAAGTTATTCCATCATCCCAGAGTGATGCAGCCTGAGGAGTGATCCAATAATTATCATGTACAACCCAAGCCTGAATACTTCTTCCAATTCTACAACTAGACACAGAACAGGAGGTGAGAAGATGCATTTTATGATACTAACGTTATTCCATCGTCCCAGAGGAGTGGTTCAAAGATAGTCATGTACAAGGCAATGCCAAGGTATTTCTGACAGTTACACAAGTGAACACAGAACGGGAGGTGAGAAGATACATTTCAGGATGCCAGCGTTTCATTGACCATTGCCTACACTTGTCAATGTGATCATTGAATGACACGTATAAATTTGCCTTGCAAATGTTTCTCTTCATGCCATTCACCATCTCCTTATGACTTAGGAGAGGAAGTTCTTTTCTCACTGTATTCACATGGTCAAACATGGAACTGTCGGTGGCACATTAGGTCACGCACATGTTCTCATCTTCTCGTCAAGGTGTTAATTTGTAGGTTTGACGTCGCTTAATGCGAGGAGTTGTTTCATCTCAAAACCATGTGGAGAAAGTGCCATCACCCGGCAATCGTGTGTGATTACGGCAGGCGAGCAGCCAGCAACGACCATTCTTTTCTACGCTCTAGGCAGAAAGGAGTGACTATAGCAAAGCAGTGGCAACATCCCCAGTGTTTGCATTATTTAACCGACAGTGGGTGTACCGCTTGGCAGAAGCGGAAGAAGCTACTTCGATACCGACAAAAAGTAGAAATACCTCTTCATTTCTACCTCAGCAAATGGAAAACTTTGCGGTGATGCTTGCTCTTAGCTGCTACACTGAACGGAGATCTACAACCAAGTGTACGTCTACGCTTAAAGAGGAGTAGCCGTAGAGAACCAACAAGGAAGATAAGAAGCGGACTGAACATTCCAACTTAGAGTTGTTTGTCAAAGCTTAGCTGCAAATTGGAATTGGTTATCTTAACAAGCCAACCTAATTTGAATCAGGATGGTGAGATGCATGGTGGTGGGCCATTTGAGGTAGCGGATTAGCAAAACCGCAGGAAATGAAGCAGTTGGTAGAGTTGTTTGAAGGTACAATAGTGAACTGCTTCACCAAGCATCACATGTGGAGGTTATTCGTGCAGATATTGTTAAAAGATGGAAAGGAAAGTAATGTGAGCCAGCAGTGAACCAAGAAAGAACTCAAGGTACATTAAGGCAGTGATTCATTCCTTTGTTGCGTCCAGGCCTTGGAAAAGATCTCCTGCCGTGAACTCAACAAAGCACGCACCCTCCGGCACAGTTCTTGATAGTTGTAATGCGTATAATCTGGAATTAATATAAATGGACTTGTTTGCTAGGCCAGTGAACTTCTACCTATGTACTGTTCATGATCGGTGCTCGTGTATCGGCCTCGTGGTTGATGCGGATCAGGGGAAGTGAGAGGAGAAGTTGGGTCAAAACGATCGTTTGAGGCGTAAACCTCTAGAGTCAAGTTAGAGATGAATACAGAAACATTCTCGCTCAACCAATCCACCGTGAAGCAACCCTACTTGAGTCTTTTTTATTTCCAGTGACTTAGAATTCTGCGGGAAATTAGCAGCACTGGCCTAAAATTCCAGCGAATTTTGCTATATTGATGGCGACTACATACCCATGATGCCCTTTAAACGTACTGGGCTATTTGACAGGAAGCTTGTAAGTGGCATGCATAGTGGAAAGGTGAATGGTTGGATCATCGTGTCAACCTTTGTTAGGTCAAGGCAACGAAGCAGTAAAACTGGAACAAGCATTCAGTTAGTGCTTGCTACAACGAGGGAGTTTATAAGGATCGTTGGAATATTACTCAAAAACTCCTGATCTTTTAGTGAACGTTTCGATAGATAATGGAACCGTCCACTTTTGTTTAGTTTGAGCCTTAGCTCTTACTGTCCTTTCTACACCTCCAGCAGCGTGTAAAGTTCCTACCCTAGCTTCCAATGCATGTCACAGAGGAGAAGATAGACCATTCCATTTTGCAGACAGTATACTCCGCATTTGGGAAACCTCATTAGCGATTGTCATCACTTCTGTAGATAAAGCAGCTTGGGATGTTAAGACGAGAAAGCGGCTTAAACATCAACAAAGCATCTGATGCGACTGCCTTCCAGATGACGAAATTATTAAACCAAGTGAAACAGCTTACATGCATTAAAGACATTCCAGTACCTTTGATGCAATTGAGGAGTGTTGAAGATTGATGGCGTGTCATATTTTGGAGGCTGTGTTAATCAAAACCACCATCCCCTGTTTGTGCGTCTCTTTGTTGCCTTCCGTTTGTTGGAAGTGGAGAAGCAAAGAGGAAATTTGAAGACTTATGTAAATTTTGCTGAATAGAGGGCTTACCTTTTGTGTTCTTTGAGAAAATAACACATTCTTTGCTTTGAAGTGGACTAGTGGGTTTACAATCGTAAAGTCCATCTCATGAACCAATTTCTCTTATGCATCTTAACGTGCCTACTGGGCAATTTAAGTAGTATGCATACGCAGTGAGATATTTATCTCTGGAAGATCCCTAGTGATGCCACGAATTTATCTTGACAGAACCTTGGCCAACAGCTCTTCCGTCCGACAACTCATATTTCTCTCAAATATTTTTTTGCCTGCATACTGAAAATGCATATAAGTAGTGTAAGAGAGTAAGCCGGGAGCGTTTTGCATTCTCAATCAAAGTTGATACGAACGCGTCCCTTTTTGGTCTACCATCGAATATTTACTAATCCCTGGTTTGATTTGCAGCTCCAAATTTAAGGAGAAATTTCTGGTTCGCGTAATTTACACCTGGGAGATTGAGTCAATTTGGTTGTTTGCTTTGCATAGGGAGCATCACAATGCCGCTCTTCAATAACACCACATTACAATGACGTCATTAATGAGCCTTCGGCTTACTCTGTCACTCTTATAAAAGTATCCGTAAAACACCAAATTATTTAAGACGTTTCCATTGCATTACCAAAGAAATTGTCCAACTAGAAACATCTAGTAACTCGCATGCCAATCCTTCAAATTCAGAGTTGGCATTTGCTACGTGAAGACAATTTCGCTTCTTTGGAAAACTACTGAAGTATCATAATTACTAACCTCTGGTAAAACGAGGCTTTTGAATCATGTCAAAGTGCATAAATAAGCACAATGGGCGTTTGTTTTTACCATGAGACGATAGAGTCCTTTGACATGTAGCTTGAAAATCCTCAATAGAATTTTCTATCATGTCAAGTTCAGCCCATATTAGCATTTGGACAGAGGAGAAGTTGAAGTATGAAAGGATTGCATTTTGCAGGTAGAGAGCTAATAGCTAGCAAGACAGTTTCTTTCGGAACCAATTTTCCATCACTGTGAACGAAGGGAAATTTCAGGAAGCACCAAAAACCTTAATTAGGCTTTTACAACTATTTCGTGTAGAAATTTCGCAGGGATACCTGTTGTTTGATCGACGTTTACCACCTTTGGTAATGTATATATGCAAGCAGTTGCGTAAATGAGCCATTCCAGTGTGGTAGACGCCAGAAACTGCAAAAAAATATTTGGGTTCTTTAATGTTATTTTGGAAATTCTACTTAGTGACTTTTGAATGCAAATATTTTACCAATTCAGCAATAGCTCTTTATTTTTATTTGCCCATTTGACATTTCGCTCAGTTATAAGTCTAATTAAGTAGGTAATTAAGACTTCTCAAGTCATACTTCTGCTTAATAACATGGGTTTCGAGTCATCCTGATACCCTTCCGTTCCTTCTGTACGTTAGTTTGTAGATGTTTATCCTTGCTACTTTGGTTTGTCACGACTTCATCGAGGGCTCGGAACTTTCCACTTCTCAAGACCCACAAAAGGGACTAGTCTTTACACCAGCCTATTGGTGTCTCCGATATTCAGTTCCTTCCGTCTTATGCTCCTCTCTCAATCAAAGTTAATTTATTTCATCTTACCCAAATAACCACTTCGGAAGAGAATAAATGATGAAAGAAGACTATCAAATTTCCAGTATGAGCGCTATTTCTCGACCTAAAACTTATAAATGATACTCCTAGAGAGAGCAATTTTAAATTTCACTTAACGCTGTCTCATCACCTTGCTTATTTAATAGCTTAAATCAAACTGAACTATGGTATTTTGATGGTAGATCAAGTAGTGTCTCCTAAGCTCGACCTAAAGACACTTCGTTTACTAGATCCTCATCAGTACAAATCAAGAACCGGTTTTAACCACCCCATTCATTATCGCCACTTTCTGCTCTGCTCTTCACTCCACTTCTCGTACCAGAAGTCACTTGGTGCCATCTGTTCAGTCTAGTTCATTTACTTCCATGCTCCAAGTGAATATGAAGCATACAGCCGTTAGTACCTTATCCACCTGCTAGCTTGTTCTTTCACTCACTCATCCACCTACCTGTTTATCTGCCTGCTTAAACTTTTTTAGCTATTTAAGAAGAAAATTTTAGGTAGCGGATGAAAGTTTTCAAGTGACTTGAAATTTCCATGTTAGACATGGGCGATGTCTTCTCGTAATTTAGCGCTTTGAATGTTTGAACTACCATTTGTCCAACCAACAGCTTTCGTCATTACTCATCCAGTTAAAAAACCAATTAAAATCTGGATTTCTTTAAGTAATATTAAGGAGGATCTGAAGGACAAATGTACCTTTTTGCGAGATACATAAACAGGAAAAGCAAGTTGGGAACTAACCCAGTAAACGCATACAGAATAAGAGCTTTTAGTAAGGCTTAAATTAGGAGCTTTGCTAATGGGTGTAGTCAGTTTTAACTCAAGAGGAGGTTATTCCTACCAGTAGGTCAATGGTGCTTCAAGTAAAACATGGGTCATTTACAGCAGTTACTAATAAATAGGTCATTCACTTCCATCTCCACTAGCTGGTTCGTTCCCAGGCGTTGAAGATGCGAGAGAACTTGGAAGCCACCGGGTTAGAATATATGGCCATTTCATAGACTCCAAATCGGAGTGTCTTCTCCACCTTTTTGTATCTGGGAAAGACTTAGAAGGGGCAGAGGCAATGCCGGGCTTAGATGTTTCTTTTGACTTAGTATCCAAAGCGCAATCCGCACCTTCATCCCGTGCCGGCGAATATATCATAACAGTTCCATTGCCATCTAACAAAGAACAAAAGTAGGTATTGTTTGTAAAACGAAGGTGAGGAATACGATTGGTAAAAGAGACCTCATTCGCTAAGCTCATTTCTGAATTGCTGTGGTGAACACTGCAGTAAGACTGTGGTGTCAAGTACGACCCAAGAAACACTTGGATAACCAGAGATTAAAAAATGCTTTAAAGACGTACATATAAAAAACATTCTTTCTCTGAAAACGAAGAGATTGTTGGGTCCTACAGAAGGCCATGGGAACATTGTGACCATCGTCCACTGAGGACTGGTGTTCTCTTTATAAGGAATGCATAGACTCTCGATGTCTCTGAATCCCCCGACGTTTCCTCCGGCTACAAAGACGTGACCTTTAAAGTAGGCGCCTGATGGACACCGACGGGCCTTTAGCATGGAAGGCAGATGACGCCAGGACCACTCCTGCTCTACCGCTCCCTCAACATCACCGCAAAGAAGTTGTGTGTCAATGTTTCTGAAGCCGTTGCTAACTCCACCAACGACAAGAACACCTTCTCCAGGAACGACAACGGCTACACTTGAATCACTCGCTGTGGGCATATTAGGCAGACTACTCCACCTTAAAGTATTAAGAAGTAGGAAACCATTTCTCGTCCCGCTAAGATTAACTTAGCAGAAACGCCCCAAAAGGAGAGCAAGCAGTAAAAATGGGTGGTTTTAAGAAATAAAAAACTTGCTACTTGCCTGAC